CATGCTGTACTCATGCTGTTTTTAGGTACTCAGCTCCTTTACAATATCTGATTAACTTTTTTGATGTGTGTGTAAATAATTTCTACTTTTCCCATGTATAATTGAATTGATTTCTTGGATTAGCTGGAGATTCTTGAACATATCATCAACATAAATTTTAATCATTTATCAAGTACAAACATGTTTTCAAGATCCACTAGATAGGAGGTACTGGGAGTTCAATGTCCAAAGTGAAATGTTAAAGACAGCAGTGGTTTTGTCCTTCTTCCTTTTCTTCGTTCCTAATAGCATATTTTTTCAAGCTGTCAACTCAAAATATAACTTTTTGATTTTTCAGTTCAAAGTTCTGAATTTTTATGGACTTAGCATCCTGTATTTTTTTTTAAAAAAAAATCACAGAAAGATTTTACAACGTGGTTTCCTGTATGGATCATAGTTGCGGTTCTCTTGTATGATTTTGTTAGTGTTGAATATCCACTGAATAAGTATTCTGCCTAAGCATAAAAATTTATGATAATATATAAGCGAGATAAGTAATTGTTAGTACAAGAGCTTTAGACTTCCTCTTGGAAACTTGTAACTTCAACTCTCGATCTACGTTAACCATTTTATTCTTGTCATTGTTTACATTTTTACCTTTTTTCTGGGAAGCCCTCCTGCAATTGAGAGGTTGTCCAGTGGCCTATTTCAAGAGGTTATCATTACAAACACAATTCCAATGGCGGAGAAGAACTACTTTCCCCAGTTGACTGTGCTTTCTGTCGCAAATCTGTTGGGCGAGACAATTTGGCGTGTTCATGATGACTGTTCCGTGAGTAGCATTTTTCAATAACATAGGAATATCCAATGGCGGTAGATCCTTTTAGTTCACACATGGATTCCTAGCCAGATTGCGAAGGCAGAGATTGTAGGTTTAAATATCTCGAAGTAGAAGAAAATCAATACCTGGGGCTTTTTCATCTTTTCCCCCACCCAGTAACATGTTTCTTTCGTTGGATTCCTATTAGGCTGGATCCGTTGAATATTGCTATCTGCTATTGTCTGCTTCTATACTCTACGCCAGGGACTTGTCCTTGACTTGGCTTCGAGTATTTATAATATTTGCTGGCTAAATTTCAATTGTCTTACAAATGAACCTCTACAGCAGTCTCATTTAATAATACAAAGATTTTACCCAATTCCTGTTTTTAGCCTTCTATCATTGATTTGGATATTGCTTGCACTCTTTGTATGAATGTGTGGAAGTAGAAATTGTTGGCTTGCATCTCTTTAAGGGCCTTGTTCATGTCAGCCGTGAGTTTATGAAAAGAATGGATAATTCCCGGGGCTTCTACAAAGAAATTTTTAGATAAGCAACAAAGCCTGTTCTTGGCTTCTAGCTTCATGGATGTTCTTTATATGCAAAATTAAGGACCTGGAACAAAAAGATGAACACTGTTCATGGAAGTTCTTTGTATGCAGCGTTTAATATATTTTAATCCTTATTATATGATAGGTTATACATATCTAATTGAGTTTTTATTATTTGATGAGATATGCATATATAAAATTGAATTTGAAAACAATGAAAAACTTATACTAAAAACTATTAAAAAAAACCTTTAAAGTGTGTTTTAAAAGTAATTTTTTAGTTTTATAAATAAAAAATATAAATTTTTTTCCAAATTTCATTTTTCCATTTCCATTTTTTTTTGAAATTCTCTGTTTGATCATCCCTATTCTAGCATCGATATAAACAAATAGATTTTTCTTTTTCTTTTTTCTTGCTTTTTACCGGTTTTATTGGGTGACTATACATCAATTTAGTCACGTGTTTTCACGTGACGTGATAAATTAGGGTTTCGCCTTGTTTTCTTTTCTGCTTCTTCCGCCGTTTGGTGTATCTATAAATATCCTCGCAATCCCACCTCCAAATCCCATTGCCCCCCGTCGCCTGTTTCTCTCTGTACTAACCCTCTCATTAGCTCACGTCGATTAGATTTCTTAATTTCTTTGCAGATTCTTTTCCCCGAGAGATATGCGTTTCTATACTCTTACGTTATGTTTTAATTTTAAAACTGTTGCTGTGATGAAATTCTGTGTTCCAGAGACGGTCTCAGATGAGGTCGTCTTTGACGGTTACACAACCCTCTAAGAAGTTCTGAGCTTACGCTTTTGTGTGTGTGTATTTGTGTGCGTGGGTGTTTGGTTTCTTGATGATAGAAAGCGAGGTGACGATAGAAATTCATGTCTGTCAATCCACTGACTAAGTAACTGTGTGATGTTACTATGAATCCCGACAGGTTCTGATCGCTTTCTATCCTGGAAGTCTTGTTTAGTTTTTATTTTCTTGTATAGAAGGGTTTTATGTCTTGGGGCGAATGATGAATCTCATGTTTTAATGGGTAATTTGCGTCTGAATTTTTGTTGATGCTCTATCACCTTGGAGACCTGATGCCCTTTTCTGAACTTTCCTTTATTTTTTTTCTTATACCTTTTGAACTCTTTTATCTTTCTTTTAATTTTTACGATGCTTTGTTGAATCGGCGTCAGTTAATGCGAGTCCCTGTCCAGTAGCTTTGCACTGATTTGATTGCTAGATTTACGTATGCAATGGTGTTGAGCTCTGCTCCTACCTTTCTGTGTTGATGTCTTCGCCATCATGATATGTTGTTTTGCTCTTGCAATATTTTTACCAACATTTTTGGATATGGGTTGCATCAGGCTTTTCATAACGATTTAAGGATGCTTCCAGTCTAAAAACATAAACTTGAAAGTCAACTCAACTTATGGCAACGATAATGGAAGCTTGTGTGTATACCATTGTTCGTTTTTTGTACCTTTAAGTTCATGAAAATGGATATTTTTTTAAAGTTCGCTTAGTTAAGACTTGGGATTTTGTGTTGCATGAGCATGCTCTGTTACTACGGGTAGCCGGAGGGATTGATGGAACTCCATAAACAGAACCTCTTATACGGGCAGATGACGAATCATGTGTTTTAATGGGTAATTTGCATCTGAATTTCTTTGATGCTTCAACACCTTGAGAACTGATGCCCTTTACCACCTTATTTGGGTCCATTTGCCGTGACAGATTGGTTAAAATAATGCATATCTATTTTCAGCTACATAAAAGTGTTTAGGGCAATTTCAAGAAGTGCAAATAAAACACCATAAGCGCTCATGTTAGAGAAACCAAAATATATAATGGATCTTTGCTTTCAGTTTCGAGAGGTAAAGAGAAGAAGGTGGTTTTAAAGAGAGGAACAAAGGATGATGATTTCAATGATCAAAACAAGGATCATCATAAATAAACCATACTCGTAATTACCAATACATCTCTGTTATTCTCAGTTCCTTCGGAGGGTTTGTCTTCGAAAAAGTGACTGGAGTTTTGAAGACACAATTAGTAAGTAAAGAAAAAAACAGAAGACCTAAGGAGGAGAAGGTATTTTGGTTTGCTTATGACAACGATTATAACTCTAGTATGTTGAGAAATTAACAAAAACAGTTAAGGTCACACCTAAGAGAAGTATCTCCCAGATGCTTTAGGAAAATCGAGTTTAAACCTTTCTATTTTACGGGGTTATAATTATTTTTTATTAAAATTATATTAAAATGATATTTTTTTATTTTTTAAAAATTATTTTTAATATTGATATATTAAAATATCTGAAAATATTAAAAAAAATATTAATTGAAAGTAAAGAAAAAAAATAAAAAAATTTAATTAAAAAAAATAATTTTAAAATATAAAAACAAACAAAAATATAATTATAACTTCTTCTTCCTTGTTGGAAAAATAAAACCCTAAATCAAACTAATTTGTTTGCACTTGCACTTGAGACTTGAAATTCACCCTTCAATTAAGAGAAAATTAGCCATCATCCTCAACCTTTTCTACTTCTCGGAATTTGGTAAACTAAACTCAACAAAGCTCCTTTATTGAAGCACCAATTAACCTGCCACTCAAACCAAATAAATCTCTTTCATTGCAAAAGGACTCCCGGAGATATTAAATCCTAGATTTAGACGCAAAATCCATAACAGAGATAAAGTTCTAAATGTGACTCGTGATTCGAATTTTAGAATTTTAAAATTATAATAATAATAATTTTTATTTTTATATGTCTTTAATTGAATACTTTTAGAATTAATAATTCTTTACAAGGATGTTTTAGAAATAAAAAATAAAAAATATTGTATTTAGAAATATATTTCTTATATATCTTTTGTTGTTTTGGGAGTACAAAAATTCACTCTAAAATTATCTTAGAAATGAATTTATTTTTATATTTTTTATTTATATTTCTTTAACCAAATACTTTTATGTCTTCACTGCCTGTATTCTTTTTATCCCAGTATATTAACCATAAGCTACCTTGAATATACCCACCACCTGTTTGCTTGAACCTTTTTGAATGACCGGATGGGATTTGGAAAATCACCAACTGGGATTGGACCGGGCAACTGGACGATTAGAGGCTACAATTGGTGGCTTGGAATACGTTGCTTGCTGGTTGTGTGATAGATGGACAGATTGTGTTGTAGAGAAATCATTTGATGAACTTGCTTGAAAGATATGCCAAGAGAGTATTTTTTTTTTCAAGTAATTTTATAATTCTAACATTGTAAGATTTTCTTGATCATTAAAAATGACTAAACTAGATAATGTAAAGATCTAATCATCCATTTTTTTTGGAAATTCCAAAGAAATCTGTCCATGTTTCTTTTTGTTGCCGGTAATGTGGTTATTTTGTACGAATACTATATCCTTTTCCATGTTGGAGCTTCGATGAATCTCTTAATACGGAATTTTGGAATACATAAATCCTGAAAATATCCTGAAAGAAGCAAGCCTGTACCGTTCGTAACCTTACTGCAAACATATCTCACGGTACACCAGACGTTCTTACAACGCAAATCTTCAATTTACGGTTGAGAATGCAAAGATTCGTCGTATAAACACTTGTAAAGCAGTATTTGGAGATGGATAGCCACCGCAAGAAAAATGGAGAAGGGGATTGAAAATGAGGTCTCAGGTTAAGGATCTTCCTTGTTGAGCAAGATGTTTGCTGTTGTTATTTTACTGAAAGAACTTTCTGGCTTTTAGAACTGAGAATATAATGACAAGCTGGGAAGTCTAGAGGCCGCAAGCTGCCATGTCTACACTGGAAGGCATGGTTTCAAAATAAAATTCTTGTTCAAGACTATTTCACTCCCCCAATTTCATGTCATCCAATAAGCTTTTGCCATCAAGTTTGCTTGTAATAACAAGCCTAAGGTATTCCTCATTTGTTATGCTCTTGAATTTCGCCCCCTTCTCCTTGACAAGATCTGGCAAAGGTCCTACCATGGCATCCAAAATTGGACTGTGGAATGCTGCAATTGAAAGTCTCTCTTTTTCTGGGTTCACAACAGCTCTGTGCTCTATGCTCTTATATTCCCCATTGCTCATTATCTGCTATAAAATGACCAGTCAGAAAGCAAAATACTCATGTACATAACATGGGAACAGCACAAATATATGCTATCTTACCTCAATGATGTCACCAACATTGACAATGAAGGCCCCTGGAATGGGTTTAATTGGCAACCATTTACCATTCTTCTTGATTTGCAATCCCTGCACTTCATTAACTTGAAGTAACAAGGTCAATCCAGTTGCATCAGAGTGTGGTGTGAGACCCATCACCTTGTTTGCCTGCATACAAGGTGGGTAATAATTCATTCTTATCCCTTGAACATCTTTATACAGGTTTGCAAGCTCCTCTGGATCAACTCCCAAATTCACGGCCATAGATCTCAGCAGAGATAGAGCAACTCTTTGAAGTTCTGATGAGTACGTGTCCAACGTTGTTCTTATTTATTCATGCCACCAGATCGTAACTCCATTAGTCACTTCATATCCAATATATCAGGCATTCAATATGCTATTTTTCTGCTTTATTTAAGCTAAATATGTATGTGGATCCAAGATGTACCTGAAAGAAGTGGGATTGTCTGGCCAAAATCTCATGTTTCTCTGGGAGATGGGATTTGGAAGAAGGAAAAGCTTGTCACCCCAGTCAAGCTTTTGCTCCTCGGAAATAACAAAAGCTTGACCATAACCTTCAATGTTGTTTGCTGTCTGAGCACATGCCATCTTCTCCTCTAGTGGCAGCTTGAAGAACTGCCGTAGGTCTCTCTTCATATTCTCTATGGCTTCTCCAAGTACCCCATGATTGATCAGCTGCTTCAACCATAACAGTAACTTTCATCAAACCGGGTCAACCTTCATAAGCATCATCAAAACTAAATGACAACGAAGTGAACCTGTAGTGAATAAGATTAAACAGAATCGGAAGGCTTTGTACCAGGAAGAAGCCCCATTCCTTGCATGCCAAATGAAGTTTAGCCAATTCATCTTGCTGACCTAGTTGATCAGCTACAAGCTTGCTCATATCAATCACCGGAATATGGAGAGACTCATCAACGGAAACTTCATCGAATTGGAGTTCTGGTCTGATATACCTGGATGGTACATCCTTCAAGTTCCTGGAAGCAAGTGCTTGCATATTCTCAACAGGAAGAGAACCGCCCAAGTCCCTTCTTCTATCCACCTCAGGCTCCATTTCTCTACGCGAAAATTACTTCTTTCCAAATAATCCTTCTATATAGTCTATATACACAAAAAGATAATAATTAAATATAACATCGAAAAAATCAACTGCTTACTTAGGAATTATGCAAACGGCATGATATGCCAATCATATTGGTTAAAAGATTCAATTATCTATGCTCTTGATCAAACAAAACATGAAAGAACAATTCCTTGGTGTTATAAAATGGCATGACTTAACAATTATCTATGGCAATTTTTATTCGCATATAACACTTTTGACTCTGATTTATGAGAGTAAGCATTGCATGTACTCACATATTATTTATAAAAACTAGTATATCAATGCCGGAAATAGACAAGAAAATACGGAGAATTCATGCTAGTGGATGTGGGATGCATTTGTTTCTTTGTATCCAAACTGTACAGGTTCGGCAATTTTGTAACCATTCAAGTTGCCTTCATTATCGAGACTGCTCTTCTCATGTTCATGGCAGCATCTGATAGTGTATTAAAAAAAAAAAAATAAAAAAAATTCCCCAGCCGTTTGTGCTGAGCCCGAACGGGCAGAAGTCTTGGATACTTGGGCCAGCCCCAAACAGCCGAACACTACAGCCAGAAATCTGATTCGACCCACCTTAGTTTATCTGACACCGTGCACCTCTCCACCGAGCCCCACAAACTAATGACGATCACCAATTTTTTTTTTGTTTATCAATTCTATTTTTTTTTTAACTTACAATAAAATCGCTTTCCATCATTGTTTTATTTATTATAAGACGCTTATAACTCTACGCTATCACAGGTTATCTATTACAATTTATAAATATCTTTGGTCACTAGTTAACGCAGTGAAGGCAAGCAAGTTCAAATCATTCAAGAACTTCATGCAAAAACATGTAAGAACTAAAAATTTCTATCAAAATTAAAGTAATTGAAACAAACATGTTCATGTACTTCAACTGTTATATATGTTTAAAATGAATTATTTTTTTTATTTAAAACGAGCTCACTATCGTTCACTTCTGTCAAAACATAATTACACCTTATTATATAATAAATAACAAAAATACAACATTTCTTTGAACGTACAAAATCATTCTCAATGTAATGAAAATCATCTTTCTTTACAATCAACATCGAAACCTGTTTGGTTTCCTCAAGCTTAAGTACATGTAAAAACTAATACAAGACATTGATTTGTTCCACAAAATGCTCTGATCTGGAGCGGAGTAAAAATATTAAAATGAAGGTGATGGATATACTTGTAATTAACACGTAAAGCATAGAGAGATAGGGTAAGTATACCTGCCTTCGTTCTACTAATATTTTTTTTTTAATTACGACCTTTGAAATAAAACTCAACATCATTAATCTTCATTTGAGTATATTTAATCTACGCCATGTTTTTCAATTTATTGTTTTCTGTTTTATCATCCAGTCAACTATCGTTTTTTTTCATTAAACACATTTGATTGTCATTATTACGAATCATATGAAAAATCTTATCATCTAGGCATTCAATAATTAATTTCAAATAATTAAAATTCAAGCTTTGAGTTAACCGCATTCCTTGATTTATTTACCATAATGAAATCTTCCTGACTAACTATCTTTCTATTACTCACCATAAATCCTTCAAACCATTGTTCTTATCTTCTTTCCATGTTTATGGAAGCTATCTCCCCCCATTGATGCACTAGAATAAGGTGCAACTTGAAATAATTCGTGTATTTTCTGATCCAACTCCTAGGACTATCTCCTTGTGAGGTTGTGAATTCCATTTTTGGCAAAGGTGTAGCATGACCTCCGCTTTATGTCCTTCCCAAGAATTAATTAGATCCTTCCAATCTAGTGTTATTTCTTGGAAATGGTAAGATTCCTTCTGCAATTGGGCCAATTCTTCCATTAGAGTTATGATTCCTCATTTCTTCTTTCTCGGCTTCTTGATTAGTAAATATGGTTTCAGTGCAGTCATTATTGAATCCAACTGTGTTTTGAATTATTCATTATTCTTGAACTGTTCCTCCCACTGTTTCTGATTCTACAAGGAATCCTCATGTCTTTGTTCTAGCTATTCTTGCTCGTTCTTCCAATGCTCTGACTTTGTTATTCTCTACCATTGTTGACAGAGAATGCTGCGAATTAAGTTGCTGGTGGATCTTTAGAGACTCCGATACCAACTTGTTAAGACCACAACCATAATTACTTGGAAATGCAGAAGAGAGATTGAAGAGAATGAAAAAGAAAAATAAGAAGAGAAGAAGATTATTTATAGAGACTGTTTGATTGATTACTTGACTTCCAAGCTATGAACTTCAGCAACTTTATACATGAGATTTTCCCTCCAAATAATTACTAACTACCACTAACTAACTCTCTAATACAGTCCTGGAATCCCAATTAACCACGTGCTTGATCTTCTTGTTTGTTCTTCTGCTGAAGTTGCTTGCTGCTGAATGCTTGTTGAGACTGGAGCTACAAGTAACGGTTGTCAAATCTAGCTGGAGTTTTAAAATCAAGCGGAGCCAATTGATTGTCTCTTCCTGATTTTAGACATATGGACCGTAGGATTCTTCGAAAGGGAGTTACATCTCTTGTATTTATCATAATGTTCTTCAGCGTTCTCATCATGTATTTGTTGCCTAAAGCTTAAGCATCTTGCCTTCCCCATTGTGTGGCTGCCTCATGCACAAGCACAATATATTATTCGAGAATTCATTTCTAGTAGAATTTATTGAGATTTGTTTTTGGTACTAAATTTCTTGAAAGTTACAGCACCATTTTGAGGCAGGGAGCAACATGTATATGTTGCCTAATAATCTCTCCGTAGGTATATATGTACGTTGGGGGTTGATTAATATTGTTAAGCTTTGTATATCTTTAAAAAATATTTTTATTAAGTTATTTTACATGTTTATATATGTACTGAGTTCCATCACAGATCCCTTAAGAAGATTACTTTGATACTAATTGATAATTTTTAAAGAATTAAAAAAAGAGACAAAAGAAATTAAAAAACTACAAAGATAAGAATATTAAAATGCAGCAGACAAGGGATAATTGAATGCATTATTTGATTAACATCTTTACAATTAAATAGAGAAAAAGAAACTGAAATGATAACTAATAGCCATAAATACAAATTATGATATGATATGATGTGCTAATAAACTAACAACTCCTAAAGACACAACTTTATTTGCTAGAAACATAAAATCTAAAGCTAATAAAAAAAGAAATATCACGTGGACTTGTGGCAATCATGAAGCAATCCTCAACATGCTATCAAAATAAAATAGAAAGGAAGAGAGAAACACATGAAGAAAAAAATAAAAAATAAAAAATAAAAAAATTGCGAGAACAACTTTCGTCAAGTATTAATCACAGAAATTTAGATATCCACGGACCGTGACTCCAAAATTTCTATGCAAGATGCAGAGAACGCCTAGTTATTAAAGTTAATATACAATACCAATGAACCAGACAAAGAACATATATTTTGAAGGTTTAATTCCAAAGAAGCGAGAGACACACTGCTACGTCTGTTACAACTAAAATTCATAACAAATGACTCCCTAGTCCTGCCTTTATCTCCAAAAAATTCAAAAAAAGCTTGTGTTTCTTGCATATATAAAATAGGCCTATGTCCAAGGAAATGGAAGAGTATTTCTATCTTCAGCTTGTTAGAGTGATCAGCGATTCCCTGCTTGAAAGAATATGACAACAAAATCAGCATACCCTCAAAGGAAAACAAAAAACCAGCAAGATCCATGGTTAGGCCTGCATTTAAATCAGTACCAATTGTGACCCCAAATTCATATTTTGTGCATAAGGTAGCTAACTTCATTTGAGCCTAGATTGTTGCATTCATCATCTGGTCGTTAATAAGTATTCATGTAGTCCAATCTAACCTACAAATCAGTCTAGATTTTTACCTTTTATCTGCTAAAGTTCTAATTCCCACATCAGTCGAGGAATATCTCATGATGCACGGCCGTACTATTGACAGTGAGAGCTTTCTTCAGCTTCCGATGATCCAAGACTTCAACTTCAACTAAGAACATTGAACTGACTGGTCGATGATCTGAGAGCCTTAATTCTGACCGCTTGTAAGAAAGTTGTTTTATACCTTTTCCTAACCAAAGTATTCGATCACACCTGCATATGATGTGATGCCAAGTACATAATTAGGTGACCAAGACCATTCAAATGTTCGATTCTATGATTTACTTCTCTAACATCCAAACTACGAGAACAAGAGCTGACTTTTAGCAGAAATCTTGGATTTCTTCCTACCAATCTCTTTTTCCTAACTATGGTTAAAGAAAAAAATAGAGGCAAACTGTTATTTCCATATAACCTGTACTTACCATGCCGGAGATCTCTTCTTCTCCCCTTCTTTGGGGTTCTCCCCAACATATGTATCAGAGTTTATTTCATATTTGTAAGTTGGCGGAAAGTTTATCGCTCCCTCTTTCCATCCTTCAAAAACACGCCCACTGCAGAGTTCTTTGCTTAGCTGCCACACAAGATGAATCTGTTAACAGCTCCTCCAGAAAACAAGCAAGATGATGCTTGGAAGAAAACAGAAAGCATTATTTGCTGAAGGGGCAAGTCATTATACTACGTACTCACGTATGAGAAAGCTATTACTTCTGAAGGACAAATCAATGTGTTAAGAAGTCATTTCTAACATGTTGATCACAGTTGGTAAAAATCTATTCAGAATACTTAACCAACTAAAATACCACACAGGTCTCCTTCAAAGATAAGCCCTTTTATTGTACTTCTTTTAGAACATTCATGGCTAAAGATCCAGGAGTTCCTGAAGCAATAGTTTCATCCAATGATTTGGTGATTTTTTTCGTTGTTATAGCAAGTATGAAAGGTATATATGTTCTGTGTGATCCACGTTATATCTAGATAATCTGTCCTGGGCTACTAGCTAGTACAACATGCTTATCAGGAGAAAATTTGATCGTTTATGAGTCTCACCTGATCACTATTGATAAGTTCATCCCATTGCTTCAAAGCAACAAGTTTCCTTACTTCTGTGTCCAACATATTGAGACGATAATTCAAATCGCCAAACCAGAATATCTGACTGTGTGCAGAAGCATCCGATTATAAATTTCAATGAACAGGTACATTAAATAGAACGATCACATGAGGAAAAGGAATATTTAACACATCCAGCCATGATCATAAATCAAAACATCTTTGTCATCACATCATGATTTTTGGAAAGTTTACGCTGAAACAACTAACGTGCATTTTTATTCTGGCAAGTAAATGTCGTTGTACGTACAAAAGGATAGGAAAAAAAAGCAAGAATAGCACGTTGCTTATATACCTGTATTAGATGAGAAATGTGCAAGAAACAGCATTCTTGTTTAGTTCAGTTATTATTCTCCTGGAACTAGGTTTTCTCAATGATATCGCTCTTAATTTGAAAAAAAAAAAAAAAACGTACACATTGATTTCCTAGGTTACTCCAACCACTTTAATTCCCTAGACAAATCATGAAAAAATATTAAGCAGGAGGATGGAGCTCAAGACTCAAGTCATCATATTTTAATAAGCTAGGAAAGAAAATCCCTGAGAAGATAAGACGCCGCCTGCTGTGAATATCCACACACAGCATTCAGACATGCATAACACAAATTCATTCATGGGATGAATAGGCAAACAGATGCTTGGTGCTGTAGCAATTCAGTATTCTATGCTGCAGTATATCATGTGGAAATACTATAAAGAAGCAAAGTCATGAAACATAGTGAATATTGAAGTTCAATTTCAAAAGGTTTCATACTCATGGGATGGAATTGTCTGAGCTTGACTGGTGTCCGAGATAGATGAGAAACGGGTGCGTCGAATAATTTCACAGACATCAGCATTACGCCTTTGTTCAGCCCCTTCTTTCTGACCTGAGGTCAGATGGGAACAAACAAAGCAAAGCCTTGACTGGAAAAAAGACATGCTAACAGAAACAGATCCCTGCATCAGCAGTAGCCTCTAATAAGATGCTGGTAAAGCGAAGGCAAGCATGTTCAACCATGATCAACGCGCATGTTATCTTCTCTACGTTCTATGCAATATTCTTCAGCATGAAGCCATCACACCGGCATTATATCACAATATGGAGGACCTTATCTCATCCCATTTAAAATTCAAAAAGTAACAATGTATAAAACATTTGTTCACTATTTTAGCAAAATTAAGACAGTAGCCTCCATAGCATGACAGGATCATGAGATGTCTTTCACTGCTACAACTACTGCATTTACAATTATCTTGTTATAAAAATTACAACACTGCTTTATTATTTCTCTTTCCATTTTGTGGTCCATGTGTATATCAACTTAAGTTTCACAAAAATATCTGCACCAAAAAGTCTAAATACTTCATATAAATGCATGTAGAAATGCAATTTCTTTGTCAACTATCATGCTGAACAAAAAAAATGGAAGAGCAGGGAGTACCTTGTTTCCCATAAAGCCCATAAGACCTACTCCAACAGGAGAGACCTCCAAGTTGTTTATATGCCTCCTCAATCTCTTACGCACCCAAATTGATACATATATTCCTACCATTTGCTTGCTAATAATTCGCACATACTTTGGGCGCGGATCGTCATTATCTTTGATGATTTCACTGTAAAATTGTCCGCTTGTTACTTCTAAGAAAGTGTCATCCTCTGCTTCAGATAACCAATCAGAGACCTCGGAGAATGAATCAATAACCTCAGGAACTTCTGGGACTTCAGGAACCCCATGCCTCTGCTCCTGCACCAACCACATTGAGCCTAAATTTCCAGAACTCTGGTGAGATCTCTTTAGTCCACTCCTGTTCAATGCAGTATGCTGAGGACTAAATAATGAGGGATTCTCTAACCAATTGAAACCTATTCTTGCAGAACTGCTAGACACTCTCCGTAGCTTGGAATTGGAAGAGATAACTTGTGGGGTCGCAGCCAAGGAATGTTCAGGCCAGTCTAATCTACTATCACAATCAATGCCATATACTCTCTTCAAGTGTAAATTATTTCCAATACCAATAGCTTTGCCAAATTCAAGTATGTCAGATTCACAACCATCAGCAGCTTCAATATATTCCTCATTCATCGCCTCTAATGGTAGAGAATCAACCTCATCGGCAAGTTCATCGGCAACAGAAGAAGTTCTTAATACTGGTGAGGGTGGGGCACTAAAACATTTGTGTTTGCTTTCAGCTTGGTGAGATTTGTTCAGAGTCCTTCTAATGATTTCCTCCCATTTTGGAATTGGTCTGCTGCTCTCTGCTCCCAGTACATTCCCAGCATTCAAAGGGACCACCTCCTGGAAACTGTTCGAGGAAAAAATAAACAGAACGCTAAAATCTCTACCTGTTGTATAAAGAATCAAAGCACACAGGCGCATCCAAGAGTTTCGTTCAAGTGATAAAATGACTCTCAGATCATACTATCATATGTGAAAGAATAATATAAATTATATTATTAGATTTTATTTAATAATTTAAATTTTTAAATGAGTTGGTTTTTCAATATTAGAGTTTTGATAATTAAATAGTTTCAAGTTTAAATTTTATTATTTCTATTTATTTGATAAAAAATAAATATAAAATAATATAAAATTGTATAAATTTTAAATTTAAAAGTTTTCATTTAAAAAATATATTAAAAAATAATATAAATTATATCTTATAATTTTATTTAATAGCTTACGCTTGCAGCTGTGCTGACAATATGCTTCCAATATATTCCCTTAACGCATCAATTTAAACCGTTGAAAACTTAAAGAATGATTATTAGCAGCAGTCATCTAGCATTTGACGGTACATGAGTAGATATAAGCAAGGACATAGAATTTTGAGAAGAACAGCAGCAGTCATCTAGTATTTGATGGGAGATACAAGCAAGCACATAGAGTTTGAATCGAGTATCTGCTTCTTTAAAGGTGACTAAACATTCCAATTCAGTATGAAATTCTGGTTTTTGTTATTGAGGGAGGTGTTTCTAAAACGGGACTTTCTAAAACTGGACTGCGTTGAGGGATGACTGCTCTGAGGGAGTTGTTTCTAAAACTGGACTTTCTGGACCCAAGCAGCCAGGGCCTGGTAATTACTAGGACGACATTTTTGGATAATTTTGATCAAGGAACCGATCAGGCGTGGACCGAGGTGTGAACCTCTCCTCTGATGTCATCTACACACTGAGTGTCAGAAAACAATCTGCTGTTTGGTGTTATGTGAGATCTAAAAAGTAATATTATATTACTTTTTAACATTAAAAAATAACAAATTCCAAATAAAAAAAAAACATTATGGGCTACAACCATAGTTGTTTTTGTAATTTTTTTCATGAACATGCTCTAGAAACAAATAACAAATGACAACAAAAACGCTGCTTGGATGGCAGAAGATCCTCTTAAAACTTAAGTTTCCCAATCAGCTTTTAGTCTAGGGTGCATACTTGACAAATAAATGTCAAATTCTTGGCGGACCGGATCATAATAACATATAAGCTTGAATAGTTGCACTTCAAATCTTACATAGAAGCAATCGCAAATATAAACAAGTTGGTAAATGATGCAAGAGACTTTAGTTTTATATTATTAATCGTAACTTTTAATTTGATTGAGCCCAACAATTCCATATTATTGTTTGTTGTGTGCTGCAATTCTAGGCTATTTTATTTATTGTGTGCTACTACATAGGCATTTCTAGTAGATGTTACAAAGCATAATGTGTTTAGGTAAGAGGGGATAAAGAGGTTCAACTCGAAAGAGAAATTTTTAGAAGCTTGTAATAAAAGAGAAATTGTAGAATTAAAAAGAGGTGTTAAGAAAGTGATGCTAGAAGAAATGGAGAGACACTACAAAAGAAATCTATCAACTGGTAGAGCTGAGAAGTCCAAGAAATCATGAAAAGAGTGATCATAAATCCATGATCAATTTTAAAAACCTGTTTTAAAGGTACAAGAATAGAAAATAGCTTTTTAATTGTGATGAATAGATGTTAAAACCAAGTATTGTGATGAATCTAATTCCTTAGTGGATTAGAATCAACAATCAAATCTTAGAATGGTAAAGAAGATGTGAAAAAGAATATTTAAATATAAAGATCATGGTTTACAATGTCAATGAAAAGAGAACAAAATAGATATGCTTTGAGAGGTGATTTTTTATGAAGCATATTGTGAAGGAGGATATGTCTCACATGTGCCTAGGAAAATTTTAGCATTGATAGGGTCAAAATTAATATTTGTAGACTTTAGATAAAAGTTGTATGCCAAGTGTCCAAAAGTTTAGTGGAGAAATCATCACATATCTTGTTGGTGATGATATAAAAAATAAAGGGGTGTTTTGTCATTATGGTTAAGCTAGAGCTTAAAAAAAAAATGCTACAAAAGTTTTTGCATATGTTTTTTTGGTTTTTAATGTGGCATTAAGAATGAATTTGTTGTTGGGAAGGATGAACATGTTGCTGATGTTTCTAATGAAAATTAAGCATGTAAAAGGTTGAATTTTTTTTTATTAGATAACCATGTGATCGGGATAAGATCAATTTAAACTTAAGGATGAGTTCTTACCAACCCAAGAAAAGTGATGCAAAAGATTTTTTTTATCTAATTTATAGCTTTAAGCTATTAAATATAATTTTTGATTTAACTGTTAGATTGGGATGAAAATTGTCTAAGAATTATTTTAGAGGCTTTATTTTTTATATAGTTAAAATTTCACAATAATTGAAGATTGGGAAAACTTTTCAATGTTTATTTAGAAGTTACTGTTAAAGATTTATTATATTTTATTATTTGATTTAAGATTTTTTTATTTAGTTTAGATTTTTTTTATTTTTTATTTTGTTTTGGAATTTTATTATTTTTTTCTTTATTTTCAGATTTACTTGTTGATTTAGATAATAAAAGCAGAATACCTAAAAAAAATTCAATAATAAAATTTTAAATTAGAATTGGTGTATATACTAATGTTGTGATATATCGCACATGGAAATTCTTATAATATATCCAGTCATCAAAATAAGAAAACTAGGTAACGAAATACTTACCCAATTATGTACATATCTGCTGGTTCTTCTGTACAAAGCCAACAATCAATATCAAGATCCTCGTTCGGAAGCCTTCCAGCGACATTCCAAGTACCTATTGTCACCCTGCAATAACCAATGTTCAAGCTGTCTTCTTAAGAATCAAAACCTTTTAGTCTGTTTTTCGAAGAACAAGCAGATAAATTCCAAACCTCACATCCTTTGCATTTATGTATTGAGCACGCAGAGTTTCAGATTTCCCTCGCCTATGTCCTGATGAATAGCCCTTAGAAGGTGCACCTGTATAAATTAAAAACTATCTTTCCATAATCATCAAGTCCACAAGGAAGCATAAGATACACAACTATATTAATATGTAAAGCAGCATAACGGAGAAGAGGGTTGCATAATTGCTAAAGGCTTCGAATTACAAGCCGGCAGAGCTCAAATTTCTGACGCCCTTTATACAAACACCTCGAGAAGCTTAGTCTTTTGTAAGTATGTAGACCTCAAAAGCTTACTCTTGTGGAGCTCATGTCTCTGAAACAATCTTAATGAAGAGGGGAATTGGTGACATGCAAAAGGATTAAGCGATACATACAACAGACTCAAATGCTTTTGAGCTTTGAGTGCATTGAACATGGAAAAAACAGGTTTAATAACAGATACAAAACAGATTATTGCCTGAAATTTGACTCTGAAACACAGATTGGTTCCCCCGCATCCTATGTGCACGATCCTCATTCACATTAACTCTGTCATCTTTAACAGAGGAAGCTGTATGAAAATTGACAGGACATGATCAAGCACAGAAAATAACTAAGAAAGACCATCACAAGCAAACACTTAAAAACCATACCATCATCTTCACTCTCAGTTTCTGTGTATTCATCTTCACTAAAATCATTAACCTTGTGCTTTATGTTCAACCATTTCTTCATCACAAGTGAAGGCCAGAAAGCCTGCAATCAAATGCAGCTCTCCAAAATAAACAACATGCAGGCCATCAAAAGAAAGAAAGAAGAAGAAGAAGAATTACAAGCAGTACCAAGTCAAGGAGCAATTAAGCATACCTCAGCACGCTTTCCTCTCCCGGTCCTCATCCTGAATCAAGAACAACTATTTTCGGTTGAGGGTCTATAAACAATTTATATAGCAGACTTTGAAATCAGAGCAAGCCCCTCAGAAAGGAAGCAGGACCGAACTTGGGCTTGTCAACATCCTAGGAGATAAAGTGTTCGAATAATTAAGAGACTATAGAGGCCATTACAGAACTACAAGACCTAAGGGTATGCTTTTTGTGATTCCACACTCAAAGAAAGATTGATACTGGGAGCAAACAGAAAGGACAGAAAAGTTATGGACATATTTAATAGTCATCCACAACCTCAACTTGATAAAAAAGAGAATAATTCACTGGTCCAGCAATATTACGTCGTAAAATCTTCTGATACGAAAGCATCCCAGCCAGGTGCGGAACAGGAGGAGGCAAGCAGGGCCTGGACCCCTGTAAAATATTTTAATTTTTTATTTAGTATTTAAATATGGAATAGTATGATATTTTTATTTTAAATAAATTAGCTTTTTAATAATATATCTCGTTATATTAATTTTGGCCTGTCCTATTAAATGCTATCAGCTACGCCCCTGATCCCAGCACATGATATTATAGAAATTTCAACCTTTCTTAAATCAAGTTCTATGAAAATTAATCAAAATGTCACTTTCTCCCTGACAACCCTACACTCCTAAAAATATTCTTAAAATCAATGGACGGTACAGCCATTACAATTAGAAACGTACTGGGAAGGAGGCCGCGAAGTTGACAGTTAAGCACAGCAGTAAACTAAAAAATAATAAGAACATGAACAACAATGAATTCCAAAGCTATGCGCGCGCGCACACACACATTGCCTAAAATGTTAAATTAACCCCCCAACCTAATCAAACCTGGAGGATATTCGACTGGGCACTTACCATCATGCAAATTACTAATTCTTAAATCATATCGAAAAATCCAAGTCAAGGTGAACGGACTGCAGTAAGCCCTGGCCCACATCAATCTAATACATCCATAAACCAGACATTTACTCAGCTAATTTAGACCAGTAACAATGATTTTACGTTCAGAAGACAAATTAGTCTTATGTAAGCAGATACATAAACAAAACTGAGCATACCCTCGCACCAGTAAAAAACAGCTTCATACATGCAAATATTTAAATAACCAAAAGTGGGATTGACACTACAATTAATGTAGGGTTTAAATCAACAGATTACATTCAAAGGACAGCTGTGATTCATTGGTAGGACGGTGGTATATATATATAATATGTGCTTGTGTAGTGTGTAAGAAAAATGACCCTTGAACTGATGCAGAACGGACAACAGAAGATGGGGTAAGCGCACTATATGTGAAGGGGAAGCCCTCTCCCATATTGTTTTTCAACTATTAAATTTAAGAGTCCATCTGTTTTCTGCTATTCCTATTTATTTATTTATTTATTTTTAAGGCCGTGCGTGCATATAATTAGGGAGTCTATCAGTGTTTTTGTTGAAGTTGACAGACCTCGCCTCACTGATAAGGGAAAAATCCAGATTTTATATCAAGTCAAAACGTAGTGTTTGATCAAAGTTCCCAAATACATACGTAATAGTTAGATTACATAAGGCGAAGAAATACATAGGAAGTTGATGATCAAAGTTACCATGACAGCCTTTGCTTGTTTAAAACTTTAGAATTTGGAAGATTGCCAGCCGTGTATAAAGACGAGCAAAATGAGAAATTTTTTTCCTTTTTTGAGAAAATCATTGTTATTAATTGCATGCCAATGGGATCCTTGCTTTTTTCGCTGCTGAACTTGGCTATGTGGACGCATGTACGGTAGCATGTACCGTTGATGGCAGGTGCAGTTTTAGGATCTAGAGTTGTTGGACACAGCAAGAACATTAGGAAGACTACCATGGATATCCACAAAATGGAGCTTGTCGGCACTGACATAGATTGGACATTCCGGTAACAAGGTCATTCCTCCGTAGGAGGGTTTTTTTTAATAAAAAATTAATATAATAACTTTTTTTAAAAAAATTACATACTCTAAAAGGTGTTTAGAAAAAATACATATTTTGACGAGGCGCTAGCGAATTGAATACGAATCCAAATGAACTAAAACTCCAGCCCCCATTTCTCTTCTCCTCCTCTCCTGCATGCATCTTGACCATAGATTATTCACTTTGGTTTTTATGAGAACATTAAGTTTCATTGCATACATTTTGACCATATATTTTGAGATACTTAAATTAAAAAAAAAACAAATTTAATTTATATATAAAAAATAATTTATTCTTTGTACTACTTTCTTATACTATTTTGTTTTGGAAAAAGAATAATATTTTTTTAATTTAAAGTAAAAGATTTGAAGCGGGGGCTTTTTTTTTAATAAAAAAATAGATACTTTCTATTTTTTATTATGATGTTTTTCTGGGATTTCTTTTCTATTTGAAGGGAATATCTTTCATAGTTTATTTATTTTTATTCAAATGATTAGAGCTTTCTATTTTTTTACAATATAAAGGATTTTAATATAATTTTGGCAAGTAGAGATATAAATAAATAAATGAATGAATATTTTGATTATCTTCCCATACTTATGATTTTTTTTTCTATCTTTAAGGATTTTGATTTATAACAAACCTTTTATCCTTCAATTTCGATAACAAATATAAAACATGTTAGTATCAGTTTTATCCTTCAATTTCATATGCATCAATACTGATACAAGTGCAATTTTATAAAGTTAAATATTGTCTTCATAATTTTATCTATGTTTATTTAGTTTAGTAATCCTTATATTAACTCTACAATTATGTCTTAGGTTCTTTTTTATTTTTATGAAAAACCTAGAACTGTAAGGACTATGGACACCACCTTTTGTTTGACATTTCGATGATTCTTCCCCTCGAACAAAGGACCACCGAGCCTCTCCTCAAACGATCATTTATCCATCCACTCTCTTCTACCAACCAGGATTCTTCATTCTCTACTTCTCTCTACTTCATTGTATTGGGGTCAGGACACGTCCATGAAGCATCCGGAGAGCACTACCTGACTTGAGAATTTTGCTCTTTCTAGGTCAACTTCTCTTCACCATGTTGGGATCAGGACACATTCATGAAGCATCCGGAGCACACCGCCTATCCAATAGAGTTGATCTATGGATTACATCATGATCTAATTAGGGCCCACCACCTTTTGTTCGGCATTCCGAGGATTCATCCATCATGGCTAACTCTGGGGCATGGCTCTGATACCACTTGTAGGATGCAGACATGCAAACCCGACAAGATAAAAGGTAAAGGATCGGATAAAATAAGAAATGACACACAAGAATTTACGTGGTTCATCCAAATTGGGCTACGTCCACAGGCAAGTATAGAAGGATTTTATTAAGTAATGTGGGAATTACAACCTCTCTCTATTAATAGAAAAACAACTGAAATCTCTCTAATAATAAGAGAAAATACCTCACTTACTCTCACAAATACCTTATAATTTTGTGGGATTATTTTCCCTTTCTCACTCTATTCTTCCTCTCTTATTTCTCTCTTGTGTTGTACTCCATATGACGAGGATGCACTACCTATTTATAGGCAAGCATCCTTGCCTTTGTCTTGCAAAAGATAAAAGCAAGGTAGGCACCAATTGGTGCTGTAAGTGGCACCGAATTGGTGCCCATTGTTTTTGACCAAGCTGGTGGTGCCAGCTTGCTTCACAAGAACTAGTATAGATAGGGTTGTTTGATTTGTATTTTTAGTAGATGAATAAATAAAATTATGTATGTTGATGTCTCCTTATAATTATGGGTTTGTTTGGTCTTTGAGGGTTTTAACATGTAACATGAGCTATTTGAGGGTTTTGACTTGAAATAAACATGTAAACATTTGAAGCTATTGTCGTGTGACAAACACTTTATGTCTTTGAGGGTTTTAATGACTTGTAACAAAACAAGTTATCATTTACTTCCTAGCTTTATAGAATGGTATTAAAGTACAACAATCCTTTATGGTTTTTGTTGTCTCCTATTGAATCAAGATGAAGTGTTTATAATGAAGAACAATTTTTGACTAAAAAGGATTGACTTGAAGGACGTTATGTTGAACATTTTCACGGATAATTTAACCTCGACGATAGGTTCATTTCAACTCAAGAAGACTATTGCAAAAGTAATTTTTTATAATTAAATATTATTTTTATAATTTTATTTTTATCCTATTTAATATTTGTTTTTATAAAATAAAATTTAGCGATCATAAATATGCTATGTGAAGGACTTAAAAAATATAAATATATGTTGTTTAAAAATGTATGAAATACTCTATGCATATAAAATTTGTTATGACATTGCACTCGCTCAAGATTCAAGATTTTTGTCTTACAAAAATAAAGGTGTTTTAATGTAGTTTGAAGAAGAAGCAAATAATTGGGGTAAAATGTAAAATGAATTGAAGTATTTGCTAAATAGATGTAATTGAAACATAATTATAATTGTTATGAAAATTGATAATGATAGAAAATAATCTATTTTATTTTATTTTTCATAATTATTACATCCAGTTTTTTATATTTAAAGGTTTAATGTATTGTTATAAATATGTCATAATCCAAGCCTAATCCAATTATAGACCCATTAAGCAACATAAAAGAGCTGAGTTCGAGGCAAGCCTGAGCCTAATAGATTTTAAATAGGGCAAGCTTGACTCCTGTGTTTTAGCTCGTCAAGAACACGGATTAAGTCAGAGCCATAAGAAATCAATGACCACCTTAGCATGACCACATCAAAGCTCACCTCAGCTCGCGCCCTTGCAATCCTAGTCAAGAGCAAAGGTTTATCTTCTTAATTATATTTAAGAAAATAGTTTTTTCTAGATGTCAATTTTCAAATTCATAATCATGAAGTCAAGGGATCTAATTAATTAAGAAAAAGTTAACATTAATTTGGTCCAAAAAGTGGAAACATTAATTTCTTATTGTACTATTCAGATCATGGATTGTTTATACATATTTTGCAAACGAAAAATAATATATTATATATGTTCGTTTATTATTTTATTTTAAATTCGTTCTAATTTTGCATGTCTGCGCCCCCAATTCCTAGAATTCTAGCTTTTATGTAACAAAACAAACTTTTTTAATCATTAGACCTACTATTTGAAATTCCTCGTAACAAAATTTTATGAAAATATTCTTCTAAAAGAGTTCACTTTATAAAACATTAGTGTTTTAAAAAAGGTGCAGCTCGCATACCCTTCACTATAGAAAATTTCTTTATTTTAAAAAATAAGATGAAAATAACAACGGCATTATAAGAAATAAAATAAAATAAATTTTATTATATATATATATATAATTTATTTACCAATTAAATTCAAATTAAATA